CATCCATCCATCCATCCATCCATCCATCCATCCATCCATCCATCCATCCATCCATGCATGCATGCATGCATACATACATACATACATACATACATACATACATACATACATACATACATACAAACACACAACCTGTTTTTCCCAAAATAAGACCTCTCAGGATAATAAGCCCAATTGGGCTTTTGAGCGCATGCACTAAAATAAACCCTCCCCCCCCAAAAATAAGCAAGCCCTCCCCAAAAACATTGCAATGCAGCAGCAGCCCTGAGGTGACCATGCTCGCTGCCTCCTGCACCTCAAAAATAATAAGACCTCCCTGAAAATAAGGCCAAACGCTAGGGGTACCCCTGATACTAGAGGGCACAGAAATGGGGCAACATAAGCCCATCCTCTCTCAAAGTCCTGGGACTGAGGCTCCTGGCTTGGACAGATGGACAGAGATGAAGACCCCTGCTGGTTTTTACAAAAGGAGCCTACACGTTCAAGAGCTGTCTATCTTTGAACACAGCCGCCGGTGAGAAACGACAGGGAGCGGCCCGTCGTGCAAGCCTCCACCCAGACATGGCTTCCTTAGAGGTGGATTTTGTGTTGTCTGCGGCTGGCCTCGTGCTGGGTTTAGCTGCGGCTCCTTAGCCTGGCATACAAGGACTTGGGACTTGGTGTCTGGTTGTTCAGCACACCTGCCGGAAGGTGAAGTAGCCTGGCACGTCCCACAGGAAACCATAAACCTGGCCCGCTTGCCTTCCAGCCGGAGCCACATTTCCGCAGCCCCAGACCCTCTGGCTCAGGTGAGGGGTGTGACTCTTTTGGAGCAGAGCCCCCTCCCCACTGCTTGAAAAGACCCTTTTCCCTGAAAGCTCCTTCTGAGGTGACCGATCTCCCAGATCTTTCTTTGAATGGAAGGGACAGACATGTCACATGACCAGTCCTGGGCATTCGGCCTCTGCCAAGCCAGGGAAGGACCAACTGCCCAGCTACAGAGGTGTTCAAGAAGGGGCCCTCCTTTACTTCCCCCTCCGCTCACCCGTCCCTCTTTCCCTTCCCTCTTCCCCCTCCCCTCCCTCTTCCCCCTCACCTGCCCTCACCTCTCTCTCTTCCTCCTCCCCTGCCCTTGCCTCTCCCTCTTCCCCCTCCCTTTTCCCCTCTCCTTCCTCTTTACCCTCCCCTGCCTTCACCCCTCCCTCTTCTCCCTTCCCTACCTTCACCCCTCCCTCTTTCCCCTCCCTCTTCCCACTCCCCTGCCCTCACCTCTCCCTCTCCCCTCCTCTGCCCTCCCCCCTACCTCTTTCCCCTCCCCTCCCCACTCCCCTGCCCTCACCCCTCCCTCTTCTCCCTTCCCTTCCCTCACCCCTCCCTCTTTCCCCTCCCTTTCCTCTTCCCTCTCCCATGCCCTCACCTCTCCCTCTTTCCCCTCCCCTGCCTTCACCCCTGCCTCTTTCCACTCCCCTGCCCTCACCCCTCCCTCTTTCCCCTCCCTCTTTCCACTCTCCCTTTCCTCTTCCCCCTCCCCTCCCCTGCCCTCCCCCCTGCCTCTTTCCCCTCCCCACCTGGCTTGGCCCCAAAGTGCTCCAACAATCACCTTCCCTCCTGACTGCAGCAGGTTAATGATTTCTCAGCCTAACCTGCCCATCTGCTGGGCTCCCAGACCCTGCTGGGAGAAGCAGCAGGTGGCAGGGCTTCAGGGACAGCTTGGCTGGCCTCCAGGGGCCTCCCAAGAGCGGGAGATCTCAGCTGAAGGAACCACCACCCCCCACGTTGGGGAAAGGGTCAGAGCACATCTGCGGAGGGACTATGCGCCCTCCATTCTGGCTCCCTCGCAGGCCGAGATGGAGCCGAAGCATGCCCAGGTCTCCCACCCCCCTTTTCAGAGACCCCATCGCTTTTTATTTTATTTATTTTGCCAAGCATGTATTAGATAACGTATATAAAGTATAAACATGATTACGAATACATGACATGGATACGAATCAATGGGGACAGTCAGACAGGGACGGAAGGCACGCTGGTGCGCTTATACACACCCCTAAAAGACCTCTTAGGAATGGGGTGAGGTCGACAGTAGACAGTCTTAGGTTAAAGTTATGGGGGTTTGGGGAAGAAACCACAGTGTTGGGTAGAGCATTCCAGGTGTTGACGACTCTGTTGCTGAAGTCGTATTTTCTGCAATCGAGTTTGGAGCGGTCTGCCTTGAGTTCGTGTCTATTGTGTGCGTGTATGTTGTTGCGGTTGAAGCTGAAGTAGGACGTTGTAGCGGATAATTTTAAGTACTACACTCAGGTCAGACTGAAGGCAGCANCATTTGGATTGTCTCTGCCACAGAATTCAATGTTAAATGCAGCAGAGACGATCCAAACGTTTCCCCCTCCGTTCACAGCAGAGCTGCTGCAGACTGTCCCTTTAAGGTAGACCCAGGGAGACAGTGGGCCGGTGGAGACCATAAAGGGGGCAGCAGCTCCGCTGTGAGCGGAGGGAAAACATTCGGATTGTCTCTGCCACAGAATTCAACGTTAAATGCAGCAGAGACGATCCAAACGCTTCTCTCTCCGTTCACAGCAGAGGTGCTGCAGCCTGCCCACGGAACTGGTAGTAAACAAAAATTGAATTTCACCACTGGTGGGGTGGCCACAGTGTCCGAAACACAGATGATCCAAAGGGAACAGCTTCCAAGGGATCGGAGCAGCTGGATAAGACAGCCCAGAGGAGAAGTTCTCTGGGATGCTTTAATCTGGATTCCCAAGGAGAGGTTGGACTACGTTGGGAGTCTCACGATTCCCCCGCCAACGTGATGACCCTCCTCTTACACTGGGTGACTCTGACAACGGTGTGGGTATGGTCCGCTCGATTAGCATCCCACCAAAAAGGAGCCACCTCTGGGAGAAGGGCCAGAGACTGGGAAGGGGGCCGCTTCAGAGAGGGCAGTCGGCCAGTCCATCTTCACTGGCTGCAAAGGGAGTCTTCGCCGCTCCACTGCAGCTTAAGGGTTTGGACAGCGGGGAGATGAATGTGTCTTGCGCTGTTGGTTTCCATGGAAACCATAGTTTTTTTTTTCTTCCCCCAGCCGGGAAGGCAGCAAAGCCGGCACAGTGGCATTCGTCCCCATGGCTCCCCCACGTTCCCCCATCTGCTCACGCCTGGGCTCAGTCCTGCTTCTCCTCTGTCCTCCAGGCCTCGTCCAGAGCCTGAAGGACCACATCACCAAGCCCACCGCCATGGCCCAAGGACGCGTGGCCCACCTCATTGAGTGGAAAGGCTGGAACGCTCCCCCCGTGGGTTGGGGGCAGCCCCCCACTGAAGAGGTGCTGTACGAGGAGCTGACGGACGAGCTGAAGGAGGCTCGGTTTGCGGCAGGTGAGGGGAGGGAAGGTGGGAGGAGGGAGGGATGGGAGGGGCTGGTGCAAACCGGGCGGGGGGGGCAGGAGGGGGTGTCTGGCCAGCATTCTCTGTTTGCAGCTACTGGGCATTCCTTGCTTCTCCCCCCCCCCGCCCCCCCAGGGGGAAATGCACAGGGGTGGCTGGTTTATCAATTCTTCGATGCTTGCATTTGATGTGGGTGTGGGGTGTCTCAGTCTTGCCCCAAGCCTCCTGTGCCTCAATTCCAAGTTCTCTGGCCCCTCTCCAGGTGTGGCTGAGCAGTTTGCCATCACGGAAGCCACCCTGAGTGGTTGGTCCTCCCTGAACGAAGAGGAGCTGAATGACAGGGGAGGCTCGCAAGACGTGATCCAGCTCCAAGGTATGACCCAGTGGTGAAATTCATTTTTTTTTTACTACCGGTTTGGTGGGCATGGCTTGGTGGGCATGGCAGAGTCCTCCGGGATTGGGCGGCCTATACATTTAATAAATAGAATAGAATATTGCAAAATCACCATCCCCAGGCTCCACTCCTGGGGGAAGGATATTGCAAAATCCCCATTCCTTCCCCACTCGGGGGCCAGCCAGAGGTGGAATTTACTGGTTCTCTGAACTAATCAAAATTTCCGCTACCGGTTCTCCAGAACCCGTCAGAACCTGCTGAATTTCACCCCTAGTATGACCCCTGGTCTTTGCCCCTTCCTTTTGCTTCTCTCTCAGTCCCCCTGCTGTGTCTTCCTTCTAACTCTCCTCCTCCTCCTCTTCTTCCTTCTCCTCCTCCGACCAGATCTGGAAGGCATCTATCTACAGGACGGTCTCCTTTTATGTCCACCGGCTCCGGCAGGCAGCCTCCAGGCCTTCGTGCTCTCCAACCCGGAATCCCCCATCCCAAGCAGAGCCGTGAGGGCGAACGAGTGGAGCAGGGCCAAAGGCGGCTTGGGAAGGGCAGAAGGGAAGCTGGTGGGACCACCCAACGCCCGTAGATGGCAGCAGAGTGCCACATCCCTGCGTTACGTGGACAGCAGCTCTCCCTCCGAGGATGAGGTCTTCTATGACTAGGCTGGGGTCACTCCGTGGTGAGACTGGCAGCAACTGCGGTGGCATTAGTCGCTCCAGGAGGGGCGGGATTGCGTGGCCGAAGGGGGGTCTTGTTCCAGAGACTCTTTGCAGGCCCAGCCCACCCTTTGCCTGGCAGCCTGAGGAGCTGGGCTCAGGCAGTGCATTATGGTCCCAGAGTCGTTGCGGTTGCAGGATGATGTGCTTTTTTGACACAGCCCGTCAGCCCGATCCACGATTAGCACTTCTAGCACCGAGATGGACCCTGCACAGCTGGTAAGACGGTAGGGGAGGCCCATGGAGGATGGATTCGGAGCAGGGGTCAGAATCCGGGTGGAAATTTAGGCCGAGGACGCTCTCTGCCTACATGATCCATACAGCCTCCTGTCCCCTCAAGTGTTCACAGAGCAATGTTAATCCTTCCTTACGGATTAAAGGGTGCCTGGCCCAGGAATGTTGTTACTGAAGGTGTAAATAAAAACAGGTGCCACAGAAAAACAGCGTCCACCTTTTTGCCCGAAAGGAAAACTGCTGGGTGCCCTCCAGACGTCCCCTCTGTGTCTGAACTGGGAGAAAGGGACTGGCCTCGGAGGCACCTGGGGGTGGACCTTCCCCTGCTGGGGAAGGAAGGAGCAAGGCAGGTTTGCTCTGATTGGAGGCGAGGTCTGATCAGAGCCTGATTGACATGTCTGGGGGGGGGGGAGTATCCTTCCCCTGGGGTGGGGAGACAATGGGGATTTTGCAGTATCCTTCCCCTGGAGTGGGGAGGGAATGGGGATTTTGCAGCATCCTTCCCCCGGAGTGGGGAGGGAATGGGGATTTTGCAGCATCCTTCCCCTGG